GGTTCCTTTGCTGGGTGCGGACAAGCGAAGGCTGGACAGCCATTTTCCTGCTCTGCGCGGGGAGGTGGGTTGGATGACCTCGAGGGTCCCTCCAACTTTAGGGCTCTGATTCTGCGGGCATTTGTGGAAGGGCACCCACACAGCACACGCCCACCTTCCACGACCGTTCAGAGATGAACGCTGAAGGGCCAAAGAGCTTCCCGCACAGAGAGAGACGGTGAACTGCCAGGCAGCCCCTGGGCGTGCAAACACCACACCGCACCCCGAGCAGGAGTGTTTAAAAAGAGGGAAGTCAGCAAGGGGGGAGCGAAAGGACGCCACAGATCGGGCTAGCTGACCTCGGAGGCCCCGTTGCCAGAAAGCGGATGAAACAGAGGAAGGAGAAGCCCCAGAGTGGGTGGTGCTTCCCTCTCCGCCTCACCTGCCGAGGGAGGAGATTTCACAAAACCCAAGTCTGGCTGTGGGGGGTTGATTTAAGGCAGTGTTGGGAGTTGAAATCCACTCATCTTAAAGGGGCCAAGTTTGGACAACACTGATTTAAGCAGTCGGGCTCCAGGGAGGGGCATGAGGCGGGAGCTCCGAGGCAGCCAAGCCTTCCAGGAGGCTCCTGAGGGGCAGTCTGCACCCCCAAAAGGGAGGCTTTGCCTCAGGAAGCCAAACTGCAGGAGCAGCCCCCAAAGTTCGAAGGGCTCCCCCCCCCCGCGGGTGTTCCGAAGGGCCCTGAAGATGTGGCTGCTCGCCCAGGCCGCTGGGCAGGATGCCCAACGCCCCTTCCTCCCTTCTCCTCCCCCCCGGGCTTGTTTTCTTCGCCACCGTTGTTGTTCTTTTGCCTTGCGCTGTGTCGGTCCTCGCTTTTAAAGGTTTTTAACAATTGCAAACCGCCCAGAGTCGCCAAGAGTCGGTTTAGGCATATCAACTTAATAAATTACTGTTATTATTCGCGGGGAGTTCCAGAGAGCTGCGGGGCCTCCCTGACATCTAGCAACTGCCTGCCTCCTGCAGCGGATCAGACCAGAAGCCCCCCGCCTTGTTCAGCAAGGCCTTTGCCCTCCCAGTGCAAGCAGCAACTCCTCCTGGGGTACTCGGGCAGCTGCCTCTCCAGGGTCCCTCGTCCTCCTCTTAGGGTGTCCATCCCGGCCACGCTGGCATCACACGGGGCCCCCTGGAGGGGCCAGGTTCCTCGTCCCAGGGAAATCGGAGGGCACCCCGCTCCTCTTGCAGGGCCTGGGCTCTCTCTGTCAGGGCAGCCCCTTCCCCCCACTGGCCCTTCAGCTCCTTCTGGGGGCCCCGGCTGAGCCTGGCAGAGGGGCCCGTTCAGGGCATTCAGGGCCCCAACCAGCTCCCCCTCCTCCTCGGGATCATCTGGCAGAGCTTCCTGCCACACTAGCGTGTTCTCCAGCAGGGTCTCCCCTTCCTCCCGATGCCTTTCACAGGACCTCCCGCATCTCCGGGAGCCCCATTGAGGGGGGGCCCTTTAGGGGCATTCGGGCCCCCACCCAGCCCCCCCCCCTCCGGGGGATCTCCGGGCGGAGCTCCCTGCCACACTAGCGTGTTCTCCAGCAGGGTCTCCCCTTCCTCCCGATGCCT